TGTAGCAATCAGAAGCAATGAAATTTTGACTCTAGATAATCATTTTCATTTTCAGAGAATTTGCAACAGGCAGTAATGCACTGAATACTTAACATTTTAAGTGCTTTTTCTATGTCTAACATACTTTAAAGGATGTACTAGATACATAAAAAACTATTGGAAGATTTCATTGGACTTGGTTAATTTAAAAGTCCATTATTACTTTGCAGGGAAATGAATCATTAACAGTTAAATGATTAACCAAAACTTATATATATATATATTAATACCTTTCAGAAGAATCGATTCTACCTTAAAACAAGATCCATCAGCAGCCCATAGTCTAGTTCTTCTCATATAAGATAGTATTCATAACCACAGGGTTTTAGTACAAGACAGTTTTAACAGAACTTTGCTGTTGCAGATTGATTTTTAGTTCAGCAAAACATTTTCTTCACCTCACTGCTCACATAGGTAATATTCCCCCATAGGAACAAACTCTGGTGTTTTGTCAACCCTATTAAATATTGAAAGGAGTGGCTTCTATTACTTTTCCATGGAAAATGGTCCAACTTTCCGACTCCTGGATCCCCCCAACCCAATGAAATACAGCACGATTGATGATTGTTCAAAGTAATACTAACAGGGAAGGACTCAGCACAAGCTTTGGATTTTTGGTAACAGCTTTATTGAGATTTAATTCACATACCATAGAATTCATCCATTTAAAGTGTAAAATTCACTGGCTCTTAATTTATTCAGAGATGTGCAACTATCACCACAATCAATTTTAGAACATTTTCATCACCTCAAAAAGAAACCCTATATGGGTCAGTTCAGTTCACTCAGTCATGTCCTACTCTGCAACCCCATGGACTGTGGCACGCCAGGCTTCCCTGTCCATCACCAACTCCTGGAGCTTGCTCAAACTCATGTCCATCGAGATGGTAATGCCACATCCAACCATCTCATCCTGTCATCCCCTTCTCCCTCTCCACCTGTAGGGATGGATAAACAAAATGTGGTATATACATACAATAGAATATTATTCAGCCTTTAAAAGGAAGTTCTGATATACTATGATGTAGATGAACCTTGAATACATTTTGTTAAGTGAAATAAGCCAGTCACAAAGGACGAACACTGTATGATTCCACTTATATGAGGTACCCAGAGTAGTCAAATTCATGGAGACAGAACCCAGCTTGCTTTCAGGGGCAGATGGGAAAGTAGAGAGCCAGGGAAATGGGGAGCTACTGTTTAAGCGGGGTCAGAGTTTCAATTTGGGAAGGTGAAAAAGTTCTGGAGGTGGATGGTGGTAAGTTTTCACAATGTGAATGTACTTAACACCAGTGAACTATACACTTAAAAATTAAAATGGTAAGTTTTATGTACATTACCACAGTTTAAAAAAAAAAAAGTTATACCCATTAGCAGTCATTCTCCATTGTCCCTTAAAGCCCCAGAAAAATCACTCATCTATTATCTCACTCTCAGATTTGTCATTTCTGAACATCTCACATAAATGGAATCAACAATATTTGGCCTTTCCTGTGTAGCTTCTTTTGCTTTGCATAGTGTTTCCAAGGTTTATCAATGCTGTAGCACATTTTTTTTTCATTTATTTTTATTAGTTGGAGGCTAATTACTTTACAATATTGTAGTGATTTTTTGCCATACATTGACACACATTTTAATACTCATTTTGTGTATTAAAAATCAGTTCAGTTGAACTGACATTCTTTTGAATTGACAAATAACATCATGTTATATGGATACACCACATCTTATTTACCCATTTATCAGTTTCCACTTTTTGGCTATTGTAATACTACAAACATTCACATAAGTTCTTGTGTGAACATACATTTTACATTCTCATACTATCTATATATAATATGTATAATATGTAATATGTGGCACGAAATTGTTGGATCATATAGTAACTCTGTGGTGCTTTATCAGGGAATGTTTTCCGAATTGTCTACACCATTTTGCATTCCCACCAGGAGATTTTTATGTAAGCTTTTTAACAAACATGAACATCCTTGGCCGGTGAAAACCAACGGTTTTTTATCTATCTTTCTCTCTGTTCTTTGCCTCATAAGGAGCGAGCAAGAGCCGTTATATTAAAGAGGATGGACTGCAGGTCAGATTAATTGCCCTGGTGACTGGAAGGGACAACCCCAGCAGGCTCTGCGCGACCAACGGCCCAGAGGTGCGCGCATGCGCGCGAGGACATCGCTGGCTCCCGGGCTTCAGGTGACGCGCGACAGGAGAGGTTCGGTGGGTGGAAGGGTGTCACACCCTGCTGAGCTGGGGTCCACAGGCACAGTCCACAGTGCCTCTGTGGGTGGAAGAGGTCCTGGAGCTCAGGGTGTGAGACCGGACTTGCTTCCATCCACTTTGATTGTGAGGTGTTTTGGTGCTGACTCGGTCGGGAGAGGAGACCCGGCCTGCGCTTGTTTCTAGTGAACTAACACTGGGGTTCTTTAGGCTGTGGGGAGACCTGTCAAATTTTATCCCGGTTGGCTTATTTAATGTTTTCCCAAAGGGGTTCTATGTCTTTTTCTCCACTGTCCGCTTCCTTGATAATGCCAGTACTCCAGGACCTCCGCTTTACACCGGTGATACCCATAGCGTTATCTCTGGTCTTTTTAAAATTACTGAAGGCCAAGCCCTGGTTTACGTCGCCCTAATTCTTCTGTCTGTCTGGACGTCCTCAGAACCGGTCAAAGTCAGCATATGTGAAATGAATTTCACCTTGTCATTTCCTTACCCTTCTCCCGACTTCCGTGTCCTATTAGAGCAGCAGCATCCACCCACACCCATAGACCGGCGTGATATTTTTAAAAGTCTAGAATCCGTCCCCTCCATTCTCTTTCATTCCTGATGCCCTAGATTGGGCTACGTATCTCCAAAGACTAGAAACTGATCATAGATAATTCCTCTATTCCAACCCCTCTTTCCACTCTGGCAGCAGGCACTGACGTCCAAAATAAAAATCTGACCATATTACTCCCCTGTTAAAAACTTTGATGATTTCCCTTTGTCTGTATTTTCAATCCTGTTGAACCTCACTCAGATATTTCATTATTAGCAGTCTCCCATCATTCCACCTCCGAAGTATGGTCTGATGAAACACACATGGAACGTTCTGAACACAACACACGCTTTGAGATCGTTTTATTCAGGTTAGGGGCACTGAGAAATAAACTCTGAAGTTCCCCGCCTCCCTGCCGGCACCTCCCCACCACCACCCCCCGCCCCCCATGTAATAGCCAAAAGGACAGTCTCACTTTGGAAAATGAGCTGAACTCCAAGTAGCAGGGGTGTGGATTCAATAGTGTAGGTGTGAAAATTGGGAGAAAAACTTTCTCTTCTCTTCAGTTCAGTTCAGTTGCTCAGTCGTGTCTGACTCTTTGTGACCCCATGAACCGCAGCAAGCCACACCTCCCTGTCCATCACCAACTCCTGGAGTCCACCCAAACCCATGTCCATTGAGTTGGTAATGCCATCCAACCATCTCATCCTCTGTTGTCCCCTTCTCCTCCTGCCTTCAATCTTTCCCAGCATCTGGGTCTTTTTCAAATGAGTCAGATGTTTGCATCAGGTGGCCAAAGTATTGGAGTTTCAACTTCAACATCAGTCCTACCAATGAACACCCAGGACTGATCTCTTTTAGGATGGACTGGTTGGATCTCCTTGCAGTCCAAGCGACTCTCAAGAGTCTTCTCCAACACCACATCAATTCTTTGGTGCTCAGCTTTCTTTATAGCCCAACTCTCACATCCATACCTTTCCTCCAATTAATGAAATCTCACTTAACTTTCCTCCAGTTACTGAAATGTCACCTTTAAATGTCTGTGACTCAACTATATTAAATCAAAATGTCCTAAAACAATAGAAAATATTATTACCCCTACACGAGGAAGACCCCAAGTTTAGTGAACTCTTTCGTATACAGTTCCTTCTGTGCTCTCTAGTATGTTAATATTTCTCTTATAGCACATAAATTGTATAGAATTTTAACTTTTTTACATGTCTGCTTTCCCTCACTGTACTCTTGGAACAATAGGGAACTTATTTTACTGATCTTTGTATCCCCAGTGCCTAGGACAGGATGATATCCATTAAATAGTAAATGCCCAATAAATATTTGATAATGAGTAAATGGGATAGTCATTATTTTTTACTTCTCTAAATTGGCACCTCATTGAAGGCAGAATTCAATCTTAATCATCTTATCCCTAGCACCTAATACAATTTTTGGCATATATTGTTTCCAATTTTTGTTTGCTCTCTTTAAATTAATTTTATGTATTCCACTCTCATTGCTATGGTTTAATGTTTTATGTTGGTCACTGATACAAAATGTAAAGCCAGAAGAGGCCTTATCATCTAATACAACCCCTTAATTTCCTACAGGTGAAGATACTTAGCCAAGAGAGGTCGAGTGATTTCCCCACAGCAACTAGAAAACACTAGATTTAGAACCATATTTTTAGATCCTTTAGGCTAGGATCCCATTATCTAATATTTTTTTCAACAACTGTATTTTGGTATACCTACTCTGTAAAGAGACATTTGAGGATCCCGTTCTTAAATTTGCAATCTTGTGAAGAATTTCATAACCTAGTCTTGAATAAAATATTTGGCAAAAGAAGCCAAAGGGTGGTTTCCCTTTGGGTAGGATTTTTCTGCACTGCTCGGCTTGTGGGATCTCAGTTCCCTGACCAGGGATTAAACCTGGGTCAAGGCAGTGAAAGCTCAGAATCCTAACCGCGAGGCTGCTAGGGAACTCCTAGGAATTTTTTTAAGTTGGAAATTTTACCTCATTTTATTTCACTCTCAGTTTTACCTTTAATAGTATAAACAGTTTTATTTTATATCCTTAAATGTAAATTTTATTTTATTTCTAGGTATTCTCATATTTTCTATGAGTATCAGTCTCTGTAGTCTTCACCAGCAATTGTGATTTAAGCAGTTACTAAAAGAGAAGAATCATTAGCTGGAAGAAAATGTCAAATCTAAAAATGAAAGAGGCAGCCCTTATCTATCTTGACAGAAGTGGAGGCCTCCAGAAGTTCATAGATGATTGCAAATACTACAATGGTATGTTCAGCAAAGGTGACTTTATTTTAGAAACTTTAAAATAAAGTCCTACATATAACTAACTTCATTTTTAAATTTGTGTATTTTTACAGATTCAAAACAAAGTTATGCTGTCTATCGATTCAATGTTTTAATAAATCCCTCTGATATTGTTGAATTGGATGCTGAACTTGGAAATCACATTTTACACCAGCCTTTAAAAGCTGCTCAAGTTTTTCAATCAGTAAGTTAAAGAAAGAAATAATTTTATGCCACATGGAATCTTCCATAACTTCTTTGGTTTTCTTGTTTCAAATCACAGGTCTGTTATATTGCTGTTAAGACTCTCTCACTAATTGGACAGTTGCAGACTGAAACTCAAGTAAGTTTTAGTTAAATTTAACAAAGAAAACTAAGGTACAGTACTTTCAGGATAACTTGTAAATAAATATTTTTCTATTAAAATATATTTTTATTAAAACATTTTTTCAAAGTTTGGTGGACTACATACAAATCTTTACTTCCTGCATTATCACTTATAATATTAAACATTTTAATAATAAAACATTTCAAACATACCCGAAAATAAAGAGAATAATACAATGAACCTCCATGTTTCTATTGCTCAGATTTAAGTTTGCAATATTTTGCCATACCTGCATCATCAGTCTTCTTCTGAAATATTTTAAGGCAAATCTTTAAAATACATTTGATATTTCACCCCTACATACTTCAGTATGTATCAACCTCTAAAAATTGTGGACATTTTTCTTTTATAACCACAATGACACTATTATCCCTTACAAAAAAAACAGTAATTTCTTAGTATCATCTAATATCCTGTCCAGCCCAGATTTAAATTTGCCCAACTGGGATTCTCAAGAATCTCTCACAGCTGATTTGTTTAAGTCAAGATCAAAACAAGATGTACATATTATAACTGGTTCTTATATCTCACTATGTCTTTTTTGATCTAGAGGCATTTCCTCCCCCTCCCTTTTTATGCCACTGAATTTTTAGAGAAGCTAGTTAGTTGTCCTGTAAAATGTCTCATAATATGGGCTTGTATGATTATGTTCATGTGGTATTTAACTTATTCCCTAGGCCCCATATTTCTGAAAATAGCAGTTGCTTCTAAATATTATACTTGCTTAGATTCAAATTCAACTCATTTTAATAAGAATAAATTATAGTGTCACATGTTTCATACTGCCCTACATTAGAAGTGCCCTCTCTGTTGTCCCACTTTTAGCAATGCCACAGTTGATTGGTAGGTGCAGATGATGTCAGTCTAACCCCTCCAAATCACAGTCTACCATCAGCTTTCACCTCAGTTTTTGCAGTTATTGATAATCATTGCCTGTGTGTGTGTTAGTCACTTAGTCGTGTCTGAATCTTTGCAACCCCATGGACTTTAGCCTGTCAGGCTCCTCTGTCCATGGGATTCTCCAGGGAAGAAGACTGGAGCCAGTTGCCATTTCCTTCTCCAGGGGATCTTCCTGACCCAGGGATCGAACCCAGATCTCCTGAATCATTGCCTAGATTCCGTTATTTCATAGGAGTTGCAAAATTGTGATTTTCCAGATTTTAGAAAACTTTCAATGTTTATTAACTAAAATTATCCTACAAGAGAAGTTTTTCTCTCATCAACTGTTTAATTACCTTGCAATACAATTTGTACAGGAAAAGGAGAGGAAATGTTTGATTCTTTCCATTTATAAATTTTCGGAGTGATGAGTTGAAATATGGCAGCCTCCAATGATGACCAATATTTTTTGTTTGTTTTTCCATTTTTAAATTATGAGGAGCTATTAATACATGAATTTTTAAATATATCTGATATGTTTCAGTGAATCTTTGTCATTTTTTTGATGTTTATATTCTCTAACTTTGGTCACTGGGAGCTTCTTAAAGTTTGTTCTTATTTCCTTTTGATGCATTTCATTAGTGTATTTTCTGCCCCAGACCTGAAACTAGCCATTTTTCGTAAGGAGCTCTGGTTTCTTTCAGTGAGAAATTATATTTAGAGATCTGGGCATTAGAAGTATTTATTGCTATTAGGTTGTCATTGTTTTATAAATAAGTCTTTCAGGGAATGGTGAGGAAATGTGTATATATATATATATATTTTTTTTAACTTTTCCCTGATTTTATTTTTTTTAATTTTAATTGACAGATAATTTCTTTACAGAATTTTGTTATTTTCTACAGAAATTTATATTTTTAAAGAAAGATAATAGTTCATAATACTTTTAATTAAAATATCAGATTATAAGGATTTTGCATTTTAATTTTACATTTAAATATCTTTTAATGCTCAAGAGATTGGTTCCTAATACTAACAAATCATTTATTTGACTTACTCTACAAATATATTTACTATATTGTAATGCAAGTCCAGTTGGATCTGCATGTTTTATTAATACTATTTTTTGTGTTCTTATCAGATTAATATAGTGCTGAAGTTAACACATTTACCTCCTCTGCCAAGTTATTGTCTTGATCTTTGTGAATTTCCACGTGATTATACATCTCAAAGATTTTATACGATGCAAGGAATTGTGATTGCAATGACAACTGTAACCAAGTATACACAAGGCGCAAGATTTCTTTGTTCAGATGAAGCATGCCCTCTTTCAAAAGGTAAATATTAAAATGTAAAATTAAAATAATTTATTGTTTAATCTTAAATCATGTTTATAATTAGTTATGAAACATTCATAGCATAACAAGAATGGGATAAAATTCGGTGTCTCCTAGGCTTCCCTGGTGACTCAGATGGTAAATTAGAGTCTGCCTGCAGTGTGGGAGACCCGGGTTCAATCCTTGGGTCAGGAAGTTCCCCTGGAGAAGGAAATGGCAACCCACTCCAGTATCCTTGCTTGGAAAATCCCATGGACGGAGGAGCTTGGCAGGCTACAGTCCATGGGGTAGCAAAGAGTCAGACACGACTGAGCAACTTCACTTTCACTTTCAGTGTTTACAGGGCTTCCCTCATAGCTCAGCTGGTAAAGAATCTGCCCACAATGTGGGAGATCTGGGTTCGATCCCTGGGTTGGGAAGATCCCCTGGAGAAGGGAAAGGCTACCCACTCCAGTATTCAGGCCTGGAGAATTCCATGGACTATACAGTCCATGGGGTCGCAAAGAGTCAGACCCGACTGAGTGATTTTCACAAGTCTACTTTGTATAACCTTGAAATTCATTCTTTCTTCCCTATCTCTCCCCTATAATTTAATAGGTGTACTTGTGTTGCTTAAGTACTTGTTCTCTCACACAATTTTATGACTGTCCATGGTGTTCCCTCTCCACATAATGTCCTCTCTCAACCCTTTGGCTTAACTCCATTCAGTCTTTCTCCAGGACAACTTTTCCATTCGTCCCCACCTCTCGTTGGGTTGGTTGCCCCTCCTGTCTTCTCTCCGAACACTTTGTAGATGAATACTGCTTATTGAAATTGTCTGGTTTTGGTCACCACCTATTGAAATTGTGTTTAAATATCCATAAAACCAGTGCCTTAGCACAGTGCCTGGCAAAAAATAGCCATTGAACTGCTGTGAACTCACATCCAAACCCAATTTAATTATATGTTGAATTAGGTTCATTTTAAAGGACTGAAAATAGAAAGCTAAATCTGAAGGCAAATTTAGCTTAACTCTGTTTTCTTTCAGGATTTCAGTATATAAGAGTGCATGTACCTGGTGCTACAGAATCTGCAACAGTAAGAAGTGACTTTTTGTGTAATCTATGTTCATCTTCACTTCAAGAAGACAGAAAATTTAGAGTACTTGGTGGTAAAATGCATTTATGTTTTATAATTATAATTTTTTAAATAATGTCTGATGTTTTAATGTAGAAATTAAATTGAATATATATCCTAATAACTAATTCTTTTTTGCTCTTTGAGTTCAGATAAACAGATAGTTGAAATAATTACTGCAAAATCACTTCATGCTTTTCAAGGATGTTGTAACAACCAGCCATTTAGGTTTCAATCTCTTACAGTCTTTCTCAGAGGTAAGATCTGTTTGCACTAAAATGTACTTGAATTTATGCTTGATTATTATACGTGGTACTTGTATAGCTTGATAATCATAGGTCTTCTCTTTCTTGAGTATTTTAAAGAGTCATATACAGCTAATGTACCAATTATTTATTCAGTCATACAACATTCACTTAAAAGGATATTAGCACACGCTATGAAACATTATGTTAAATCTCAGGGTGACAGTTATTTACAATAATAATCTCCCATTATTGTGTGTGTATGTCTTATGTAAGTATTGGAGTTAATGTTTTAAAATATAATGTTCATGAGGGTAGGACGTGAATTTTTACTGCACATAGTAAAAATTTAGTAAGTTCATTCAATAAATGAATGAACTCCACGGGTTAAGACCTGTGAATATAACAGATGCTGCAATAAAGGAGGAAATCATTATCAGTATCAGCCACCCAGGGAAGAGTGAGTTTTAATTAAGAAGCCAGAATTGTGAAAATGAGGATGGATTCAGCCTCTTTTCTTGGGCTAAAATTGGAAGAATTAAACTGTTTTTAAAGAGAGATTTTGGATGCAATCATGTGTACGAAACTTGAGTTTGGAAAGTAGAGACTCAAACAAGAATTCTTTTCACCATGGCTTGACAAGGACAAGGCAGGTGTGTAAGCCTAGATGACTATAATTTTTAATACCAAATACTGTGTGCCAGACACTTTTACATATATTAACTCATTTAATCAGAGCAACTCTCAACTCTTTCAATTGTTATTTCCATTTACAGTGTGGAAATGGATGCAGAGAGAAGTTAAATAACTTTTCCAAGGTTACACAGCTAGCACATGACATAGCCATGATTCAAACTCAGGCATTCTAGCTTCAAAGTCTATTATTTTAACTACTTAATTCTACAAAATACAAACCATACATTACAATATAGAAATATAAGTGACTATCCAACATATACTTCAGTAGAAAACCCTTTCTTCAAATAAACTTTTAATAGAACCCAAATGAATTTTTAATAATTAAATTAATAAAAGGAAGAGATACCCAGACCTCCCAGTCTCCTAGCCTTCCTTTTGATCTTTTCTTGACCTCAGGATACATTCACCAAACTCATAAGAGTCCAGGGAACAGCTGAAAAATGATTTGTTTCATTTTCCCCTTGTAATTCATACTGTATCCTTCAGGGTTTTGGGGGGTGGGGGAAGAGGGAGTGTTGGTTTGTTTATTTAGTTTGGGGTTTTTATTTTTTTAAGTCTTGGGCCTGATTCTTCCCATCTAGGTCTACAGGGTTTACCAATATACTCTCTGGAGCTAGAGAGAAAGAGAGAAAGAACAGAGAGGGAGAAACAGAGATCACTGTTTACTCACAGAGGGAGGTTAATCCTTGCTCCTGCTTGTAAGCCTTTCTTTCACAGCTTTACAACCATCCAGATTCTGTGTAATGGAGGATCAATATTTTTTAGTTTTTCAGAATAAATTTTGAACTTGTGCAAAGGCTTTGCTCAATCCATAAAGGTGAGGGGAACCTAGTAAAGTGTCTTGTGGGTAGACTTTAGACAGGAGCAGACCCAGACGGGAACTTCATTTCAGCTACTTAACTACTTGGGCTTCTCTGGTATCTCAAATGGTAAGAATCCACATGCAATGTGGGAGACCTGGGTTTGATCCCTGGGTTGGGAAGATCCCCTTGAGGAGGGCATGGCAACCCACTCCAGTATTCTTGCCTGGAGAATCCCCATGGACAAAGGAACCTGGCAGGCTACAGTCCATGATGTCACAAAGAGTGAATTCACATGACTGAATGACTTAAGCACCTAACTACTTTAGCCTTGTATAAATCACTTAACCTCTTGGTTTCTTCATATATAAAATGGGGATAACAATATTTGTCTTAAGGTTTATAATTACATAATGCGTGTAAAAGTACCTTGCCTATATTATAGACAGGACATAATACTTTTAAAAATAATTTTCTTCCCAAATAAAGTTATTACTTATAAAGTCTTTTATTAGCATTTTGTCATTTAATGGAAACATGTTTCATTTAAACAGAGTTGTCCTGTTTTGCCTTTTGACTATATTATAGGAGACTGTTTAGTTGCTATGCCACATATTTCTTAAAGTTAATTCATCACTGGCTCAAAATGATGTATCAAAATTTATCAGCAGTAAAGTTACCTCAATTTACATTATTTATGTCACTCAGTATGCACGTTATACTAAACAAAAGTAAATATTTAGCAGCTAACTGAACTATTGTTACTGGTTTTAGATCTTTGAACCATATCATCAGTAAAAGTTTCATTCAGTAAACACATATTTTCTTTTGTCTTTAATAATTTTAGATGAATCAGTGAATAAAATGAATATAGGAAATGAGTATAAGGTTATTGGAATTCCAGCCTGTGTAAAAACATCACAAACTGCTATCTGTATAGAAGCAAATAGTATCACTTTTTGCATTCCAAAAGGTAAGGAAAATGTTAATATCATTTTTAACAATACTTGCAAGTTTAAATCCATTTGTTCAGGAAATAAGTAATGGCTGCCTGTGTGCTGGACACTCTTCAAAACACTAGGGATAGAGTTGTGATCAGGACAGTCAAGGTTCCCACCCTTAAATCATATGGTAGATAGTGAATAAATCTAAACTAACTGATAAGACAATTTCAGATAATAAATGCTATGAAGGAAATAAAGCAGGATAATGTAGAAACTTGCCCCTAGGAATGATTCTTTTCTTTTGGCTAAACTCTATTTAGATTTTTAAAAAAATAATTACCAATGAGAAGAACGTTTTAAGATGCCAGGAGTTAGAGATTAGTCTAAAAGTTTTTCTTACCTTTGTTTTCTAGCTAAGGCAATGCTAAGTAACTTTTCATGGTCTGAGAAAAAGAGCTGGATAAAATGGCATCCTCTTCCTCATCTGAGTTTTGAACCAATCAAGAAATAAGACAAGAGGCAAAGGCAGTTGGGGCCAAAATATCTGCTTTATTACTGATAATTTTCTTTCAACTTAATTAAGCACTAAGTAAACAGAAGTGAAGAGCAGATCTACTCTTTTAATTTGGCAAACAAATATCTGAGTGTAAGACAGGCTAGTTAAATCTCGAATAATAGATTTTTTTTTTTTAATCACTAGATAGCTTTTTGACTGTGGTATTGGAGAAGACTGTTGAGAGTCCCTTGGACTGCATGGAGATCCAACCAGTCTATACTAAAGGAAATCATTCCTGAGTATTCACTGGAAGGACTGATGGTAACTGAAACCCCAATACTTTGGCCACCTGATGCGAAGAGCTGACTCATTTGAAAAGACCCTGAAGCTGGAAAAGATTGAAGGCAGGAGCAGAAGGGGATATCAGAGGATGAGATGGCTGGATGGCATCACCAACTCAATGGGCATGAGTTTGAGTAAACTGTGGGAGTTGGTGATGGACAGAGAGGCCTGGCGTGCTGCAGTCCATGAGGCTGCAAAGAGTCAGACATGACTAAGTGACTGAACTAAACTGAACTGAGATAGCTATCTAGAATAACAGAAGCCCATGTTGAATGTAGGGCTTCCCTGGTGGCTTAGATGGTAAAGAATCTGCCTGCAATGCAGGAGACGTGGGTTCGATCCATAGGTGAGGAAGATCCCCTGGAAAAGGGAATGGCTACTTACTCCAGTATCCTTGCCTGGAGAATTCCATGGACAGAGGAGCCTGGTGGACTACAGTCTATGGGGTCACAAAGAGTTGCACACTACTGAGCAATTAGCACTTTCACTTTCTTTCAAGTTGAATTTAAATACAATGGATTCTAGACACCTCTGCTTATTTTGAAGAAAAAAATTTATTAAAAGAATAAAAATATTGAAGAAAGAAAGCATTAATGAACAATAGACATTTTAAAGATCCTTTCAGTACTTTCTGCTGTGAAATGTTTTATAATTTACTGATTTGGTAGCAGAACATGACTTCTGTGTAGGTGAAGTGTGCTTTCTCCTGCTAAACTCTAGAATTAGGCAGATTTAACCACCTAAATGTGGCAAGACCTACTCTAGGTAGGCCTCCCTTGGTCCATGGACATGGCTGAATAGAAGAAATCATTGCTCCATGGTGACAGCCCCAGAGGAAAGAGAAAGGGAGTGAGTTGTATATGCACAGCTCTTCCTCCCAAACTGACCCATTGGATTAAATCGCTCATCCCTTTCAGGAGTTGGACAGAAAAAGGGAGTGGAGAAGGTCTAGAATGTTACAGTCTGTGTTAAAGTAAGAGGGTGTAAATCTTCCCATTTAACAGGAGCTTTCAAATATTCCCCATTCTGTTTTTTCAGTTCAGTTCAGTTCAGTCACTCGGTCATGTCCAGCTCTTTTTGACCCCATGAACTGCAGCACACCAGGCTTCCCTGTCCATCACCAACTCCCAGAGCTTGCTCAGACTCATGTCCATCGAGTTGGTGATGCCATCCAACCATCTCATCCTGTGTTGTCCCTTTCTCCTCCTGCCTTCAATCTTTTCTAGCATCAGGGTCTTTTCAAATGAGTCAGCTCTTTGCATCAGGTGGCCAAAGTGTTGGAGTTTCAGCTTCAGCATCAGTCCTTCCAATGAATATTCAAGACTGATTTTAGCCCTCGCTAAAGCAGAATATTCAGTTCTGCTTTTTAGCCCTTGGTAAATGTGATACTGTTTCAAACACAGAAATATAAAGGAAACACTGAAATACAGGAGCCTTATGATCTGACTTTGCTCACATAAGTCTTAAAAGGAAAAAAATGAGGAATTTACTTGCAACCCAAAGGCAATCTATGTGGGTACACAGGGTGTGCATCCTTTTATTATGTTTCTTGGGTAGAAATGATAGACCAGAGTGACCTCCAATCATAATTTATTATCATTGTAATAATTTGAATGTGGCATCATTAAAAGAACTGCAATTTGATATTTTAGATTAATGGAATTAGATGTCTGTATACTGTTTGCTTGTTTTAAAGCCCTTTTTAATATGTGTATTAATATTTACTTTCAGTTCCTTCAGGAATTAGTGACAATTTCAGGTGTCTCCTCTCTCTGACTTCCAGCTCATGCTGGAAGTTTACAGCAATACTTGCCAACATCTTTGCATCACAGATTGTTCCTCCTGGGACTTACAATTTGCTCAAGCTATGTTTGCTGATGAGTCTAGTACAGACAAGTGACCGTAACAAGGAACTGGAAAATTGCTTGGATATTTTAATTGTAACAAGTGATACTATACTCATAGACAGGTAAAATATATGCCATTACAAATTGATCACAGATTTGCATAAATCTTTTCCATAAAGATTATTATAAGACAGATGTTTAGAATTTATCTGATATAAATTGCTCCCCACTAGCAAGTACTCTTTTTAAAAAGTTTACTTAAATGTTCAAAAAGCTAGGAATGAACTTCATATATTAATATAGTATGTGCAATTATAAGGCAAAAACAAATTTATATAATGAAATTGAAATTAAAAAATAAAAGTCCAATTAGCTCTAACTTAATTGGACAGATGATGTTTTGCTAAAGTTAAAATTAAATCATAATGTAAATATAGTGCTAACTGCCACATATTGTACCAATTTAATCTTCCACTAATGAGCATGAGAATATTTGTTTAACAGTCTCACCAATACTGGGTATTATTAGACTTTTAAATTTGGCCCTCTGATGGGTGGAAACTGGTATTTTATTTTAATTTTCATTTCTTTAACTAGAAGTAAGCTTTAGCATCATTTATAATTTATTAAACACTTTTTATTATTTTTTTATGAACACTGTGACCATTTTCCATTTTTAAATTAATCTGCTTATTTCTTGTTTATTTGTGATATCTCTGTAAATTAAAGCCCTTGTCTCTCTTTATGTTTGTCATTAACCTTTTCCTGTAGTATTTGGGGCTGTATGAGAGATTTGGTGTTTTGTTTTTTAGTTAAGATTTGCATAAATAAAGTAAAGCAATAAGATCTTAAGTATGCAATTTGATGAATCTTGACAGATAAGTGCATTCCTATAGCCATCACCTCAATAAGATATGAAACATTTCCATTTTCCATCACTTTGGAAAGTTCCTTTATTCTCTCAGTTAATTCCTATTTCCACAGCTGATTTCTGTCACCATAGGTTAATTTTCCTGTTCTTGAATTTTGTATAAATAGAATCACACAGTGCATCCTCTTTAGGATCTAATCTCTTTTGCTTAGCATGTTTTTGAGACTGGCCTTGTTGTGTGTGTGTCAAAAGTTCACTTGTTTTTATTGGTGAGTCGTGTTCCATTATATAAATGTACCAGAATTTGCTTCTCCATTTCTCTAGTGATCGACATTTGGGTTTTGCATGTTTTGACTATATAAATAAAGCTGCAATAAACATCTCTTGTACAAGTCTTTTTGTAGACTTGTGTTTTCATTATCTTGAATAAATATATAGGAGTGGAATTGCTGTCATAAGGTAGGTGTATGTAACTTTATAAGAAACTGCCAAACAGTTTTTCAAAGTGATTGTGCAGTTTTACATTCTAGCCAACGAGGTAAGGTTCCAGATGTTTCTCTCCTCACCAAAATCCAGTGTTGTCAGTCTTTCTCAATTTAGCCATGCTAGTGTGTATGAAATGATATCTCATTACATTTCTAAGTTGCATTTCCCTGATGACTACTGATTTGAACTCTTCTTCATGTGCTTACTCATCTTATTTTATGAAGTGTCAAGCTGTTTGCTCACTTTTAAATGGAGTTCTGAATGCACATCCGTTGTCACATATGTATCACGAAACTTTTCTCCCAGGTACAAAAATAGTTTGTAGTTTTTTCTTAAAGATATATTTGATGAGCAGACCTTTTAGTTTTGATTGTTATTTTATGTTTAGTGTTTTCTGGTTTATGTTTAATAAGTCTCTGCCTACCTCAAGGTCATGAAGATATTATTCTATGTCTTCTTCTAGGAGCATATAGCTTTAACTTTTAAAATAGGTCTGTTATCTATTCCAAGTCAGTTTCTGTATATACCTTGTATATATGCGAGGTAGGAGTCAAGATTAATGTTTTTCCTCTGCATTTATCAAACTTTTCCATACTATTTGTTGAAAAAAATTTTCCTTTCCCCATTGAATTGCTGTGGTACCAGTATTGAAAATCTGTTAAACTGGTTATATGGTTATAAATTTAGGTATACAGTTTAACTGGGCATACATCTATTTGAACTTTCTTTTGTGCTGTTTTGACTTATTTGTCTATGATTAAGCCTCACATTCTTGATTGTTGTAGCTCTATATTAAGTTTTGAATCAGGTAGTGCAACTTTATTCTTCATTTTTAAGATTTGTTTTTATTATTTTAGGTGCTTTGCATTTTCTTAAAAAGTTTAGAATCCATATGTTACTACCAACCTCCATCACACCAAAAAAGCCTTTAAGAATTTTGATTGGAACTGCTTTTAACTTATAAATCAATTTTGGGGAGAATTTACATCTTAACAATGTTCAGTCTTCCAATCCATGAAGATGGTATATATCTCCATTTATATAAATCTTAATTTCTTTCAGCAAATTGCAAAGGTCATGCACATAATTTGTTGATTCCTAAGTATTTGGTATTTCTGATGCTGTTAAACTGGAGACCCAGTTTCCCCCTCAGTCAGTCTGTCCCATCAGGAAGCTTCCATAAGCCCCTTATCCTTCTCCATCAGAGGGCAGACAGACTGAAAATCACAATCACAGAAAACTAACCAATCTAATCACATGGACCACAGCCTTGTGTAACTCAATGAAACTATGAGCCATGCCTTGTAGGGCCACCAGAGATAGACAGGTCATGATGGAGAGTTCTGACAAAATGTGGTCCACTGGAGAAAGGAATGGCAAACCACTTCAGTATTCTTGCCTTGAGAACCCCATGAATAATACGAAAAGGCAAAAAGATAGGACACTGAAAGATCAACTCCCCAGGTTTGTAGGTGCCCAGTATGCCACTGGAGATCAGTGGACAAATAACTCCAGAAAGAATGAAGAGACAGAGAAAGTAAAAACAACCCAGTTGTGGATGTGACTGGTGATGGAAGGAAGGTCCATTGCTATAAAGAACAATATTGCATAGGAACCTGGAATATTAAGTCCATGAATCATGGCAGATTGGAAGTGGTCAAAGAGGAGATGGCAAGAGTGAACATCGACATTTTAGGAATCAGCAAACTAAAATGGACTGGAATGGGTGAATTTAACTCAGATAATTTTGTGTACAAGAATCCCTTAGAAGAAATGGAGTAGCCATCATAGTCAACAAAAAAATCCAAAATACAGTACTTGGATGCAATCTCAAAAATGACAGAATGATCTCTGTTTGTTTCCAAGGTGAACCATTCAGTATCACAGTAATCCAAGTCTATGCCCCAACCAGTAATGCTGAAGAAGTTGAAGTTGAATGGTTCTATGAAGACCTACAAGACCTTTTAGAACTAACACCCAAAAAAGATGTCCTTTTCAATATAGTGGACTGGAATGCAAAAGTAGGAAGTCAAGAAACACCTGGAATAACAGGCAAATTTGGCCTTGGAGTACAGAATGAAGCAGGGCAAAGGCTATTAGAGTTTTGCCAAGAGAACGCACTGGTCATAGCAAACACCCTCTCCCAACAACACAGGAGAAGACTCTACACATGGACATCACCAGATGGTCAACACCAAAATCAGATTGATTATATTCCTTGCAGCCAAAGATGGAGAAGCTCTATACACTCAGCAAAATTAAGACTGGCAGCTGACTATGGCTCAGATCTTGAACTCCTTATTGCCAAATTCAGACTTAAATTGAAGAAAGTAGGGAAAACCACTAGACCATTCAGGTATGACCTAAATCAAATCCCTTATGATTATACAGTGGAAGTGAGAAATAGATTTAAGGGACTAGATCTAATAGAGTGCCTGATGAGCTATGGATGGAGGTTCATGACATTCTACAGGAGACAGGGAGCAAGACCAACCCCAAGAAAAAGAAATGCAAAAAAGCAAAATGACTGTCTGAGGAGGCCTTAAAATAGCTGTGGAAAGAAGAGATGTGAAAAGCAAAGGAGAAAAGCAAAGATATTCCCATCTGAATGCAGAGTTCCAAAGAATAGCAAGGAGAGATAAGAAAGCCTTCCTCGAATCAACCTGCCTGACTTCAGGCTCTACTACAAAGCCACAGTCATCAAGACAGTATGTTACTGGCACAAAGACAGAAATATAGATCAATGGAACAAAATAGAAAGCCCAGAGATAAATCCACATACCTACGGACACCTTATCTTCAACAAAGGAGGCAAGAATATACAATGGAATAAAGACAACCTCTTTAACAAGTAGTCCTGGGAAAACTGGTCAACCACTTGTAAAAGAATGAAACTAGAACACTTTCTAACACCATACACAAAAATAAACTCAAAATGGACTAAAGATCTAAATGTAAGACAAGAAACTATAAAACTCATAGAGGAGAACAGGCAAAACACTCTCTGACATAAATCACAGCAAGATCCTCTATGACCCACCTCCCAGAATATTAGAAATAAAAGCAAAAATAAACAAATGGGACCTAATGAAACTTAAAAGCTTTTGCACAACAAAGGAAACTATAAGCAAGGTGAAAAGACAGACTTCAGAGTGGGAGAAAATAATAGCAAATGAAGAAACAGGCAAAGGATTAATCTCAAAATATACAAGCAACTCCTGCAGCTCAATTCCAGAAAAATAAATGACCCAATAAAAAAATGGGCCAAAGAACTAAACAGACGTTTCTCCAAAGAAGATGTACAGATGGCTAACAAACACATGAAAAGATGCTCAACGTCACTCATTATCAGAGAAATGCAAATCAAAACCTCAGTGAGGTACCATTACACACCAGTCAGAATGGCTGCTATCCAAAAGTCTACAAGCAATAAATGCTGGAGAGGGTGTGGAGAAAAGGGAACCCTCTTACACTGTTGGTGGGAATGCAAACTAGTACAGCCACTATGGAGAACAGTGTGGAGATTCCTTAAAAAACTGGAAATAGAACTGCCATATGACCCAGCAATCCCACTCCTGGGCATACACACCAACGAAACCAGATCTGAAAGAGACACGTGTACCCCTGTGTTCATTGCAGCACTATTTATAATAGCCAGGACATGGAAGCAACCTAGATGCCCATCAGCAGACGAATGGATAAAGAAGCTATAGTACATATACACTATGGAATATTACTCAGCCGTTAAAAAGAATTCACTTGAATCAGTTCTAATGAGATGGATGAAACTGGAGCCCTTTATAAAGAGTGAAGTAAGCCAGAAAGATAAAGACCAATACAGTATGCTAATGCATATATATGGAATTTTAAAAGATGGTAATGATAACCCTATATGCAAAACAGAAAAAGAGACACAGATGTACAGAACAGACTTTGGGGCTCTGTGGGAGAAGGCGAGGGTGGGATGTTCTGAGAAAATAGCATTGAAACAAGTGTACTGTCAAGGGTGAAACAGATCACCAGCACAGGTTGGATGCATGAGACAAGTACTCAGGGCTGGTGCACTGGGAAGACCCAGAGGATTGGGATGGAGAGGGAGGCAGGAGGGGGGATCAGGATGGGGAACACATGTAAATCCATGGCTGATTCATATCAATGTATGGCAAAAACCTCTACAATATTGTAAAGTAATTAGCCTCCAACTAATAAAAATAAATGGAAAAAAAAAAAAGGAAAGCCTTCTCAGCGATCAGTGCAAAGAAATAGAGGAAAACAATAGAATGGTAAAGACTAGAGATCTCTTCAAGAAAATTAAGATACCAAGGGAATATTTCATGCAAAGATGGGCTCAATAAAGGACAGAAATGGTATGGACCAAACAGAAGCAGAAGATATTAAGAAGAGGTGGCAAGAATACACTGAAGAACTGTACAAAAAAGATCTTCACGACCCAGATAATCACAATGGTGTGATCACTCACCTGGAGCCAGACATCCTGGAATGTGAAGTCAAGTGGGCCTTAGGAAGCATCACTACGAAAAAAGCTAGTGGAGGTGATGAATTCCAGTCAAGCTATTTCAAATCCTAAAAGATGATGCTGTGAAAGTGCTGCACTCCATATGCCAGCAAAATTTGGAAAACTCAGCAGTGGCCACAGGACTGGAAAAGGTCAGTTTTCATTCCAATTCCAAAGAAAGGCAATGCCAAAGAATGCTCAAACTACCACACAATTGTACTCATCTCACACACTAGTAAAGTAATGCTCAAAATTCTCCAAGCCAGGCTTCAGCAATACGTGAACTTGGAAAAACTTCCAGGTGTTCTAATTAGAAAAGGCGGAGGAACCAGAGATCAAATTGCCAGTATCCGCTGGATCATCGAAAAAGCAAGAGAGTTCCAGAAAAACTTCTATTTCTGCTTTTTTGACTATGCCAAAGCCTTGGACTGTGTGGATCACAATAAACTATGGAAAATTCTGAAAGAAATGGGAGTACCAGACCATCTGACCTGTCTCTTGAGAAACCTGTATGCAGGTCAGGAAGCAATAGTTAGAACTGCACATGGAACAACAGACTGGTTCCATTTAGGAAAAGGAGTATGTCAAGGCTGTATGTTGTCACCCTGCTTATTTAACCTATATGCAGAGTACATCATAAGAAACGCTGGGCTGGAAGAAGCACAAGTTGGAATCAAGATTGCCAGGAGAAATATCAATAACCTCGGATATGCAGATGACACCACCCTTATGGCAGAGAGTGAAGAAGAACTAAAGAGCCTCTTGATGAAAGTGAAAGACGAGAGTGAAAAAGTTGGCTTAAAGCTCAACATTCAGAAAAAAAAGATCATGGCATCTGGTCCCATCACTTCATGGCAAATAGATGGGGAAACAGTGTCAGACTTTATTTTTTTGGGCTCCAAAATCACTGTAGATGGTGACGGCCGGCATGAAATTAAAAGATGCTTACTCCTTGGAAGAAAAGTTATGACCAAACTAGACAGCATATTAAAAAGCAGAGACATTACTTTGTCAACAAAGGTCCATCTTGTCAAGGCTATGGTTTTTCCAGTAGTCATGTATGGATGTGAGAGTTGGACTATAAAGAAAGCTGAGCACCAAAGAATTGATGCTTTTGAGCTGTGGTGTTGGAGAAGACTCTTGAGAATCCCTTGGATTGCAAGGAGATCAAACCAGTCCATCCTAAAGGAGATTAGTCCTGGGTGTTCATTGGAAGGACTGATGTTGAAGCTGAAACTCCAATACTTTGGCCACCTGATGGGAAGAACTGACTTATTGGAAAAGACCCTGATGCTGGGAAAGATTGAAGGTGGGAGGAAAGGGGATGACAAAGGATGAGATAGTTGGATGGCATCACTGACTCAGTGGGCATGGTTTTGAGTAAACTCTGGGAGTTGGTAATAGACAGGGAGGCCTGGTGTGCTGCAGTCCATGGGGTCTCAAAGAATCAGGCACGACTGAGTGACTGAACTGAACTGATGCTGTTGCAGTAGTAGTGCTTTGCTAATTTTATTTTTCAAGTATTTGCTTTGAATATATAGAGTTAGTGTTGATTTTTGTATTCGTGTCTTATACTCTGTGACCTTATATCAGTAGTTCAAAAACTTCCTCAGTTAATTCCAATGATTAGCCAGTTTGAGGCCCATTGTTCTATATAATTAGGTTCTCAGCCTGACTACCTATTAGAATCACCTGTGAAAATATTTTTTAAAATATTGATGCCTGTGGCTCACCCCCAAAGATTATAATTTATATTTTGTGGAGGGCTTAGCATTGGAATTTTTTAAAGACCCCAAGCAATTTTTTTGTTTAAGTATCTTTGCATAATAACCTTTAGGCCCATCTATGTTTTCACAAATATCAAGATTTCATTGTTTTTATGGCTGAGTAATATTCCATTACATATATATATATATATATATATATATATATATACACACACATACTACATCTTCTTTATCCATTCATCTATTGATGGACACTTAGGTTGTTTCTATATCTTGGGTATTATAAATAATGCTACAGTGAACATGGAGGTGCACATATCTTTTCCAGTTAATGTTTTTGTTTTCTTTGGATTAACGCCCAGAAGTGGAATTGCTGGATCATGGTAACTCTGTTGAGGAATTTCCACATTGTTCTCCATAAAAAGCTATATCAATATATATTGCTACCAACAGTGCATAAAGGGGTCCCTTTATCCACATTCTTACCAACAGTTGGTTTTTGGGTTTGTGCATGTTTGATAACTGTCATTCTGATAGGTATGTTGTGATATCTCATTATGTTTTTGATTTGCATTCCCCTGATGATTTTGATGTTGACCATCTTTTCACATGACTGTTGGCTCCCCAGGTGATTTTAAAGTGAGCTAGAGTTGAGAACCACTGCCTGATAGACTTGCAAATTTTCCTTCTACATCTTACCCATTTTACATATCTTCAAATTAACACCTAAATTCCTTGGAATGACACATATTCTAGACATTTTATAGCATCTGCCTGTCCATTCTTAAGAGATACTGCTTCACCCTCACTTGCACTGTATGTGTGTGTCTGGTCATCATAGGAGATTGCACCAGCAAGCTATGATTTCTGCAGCAAGGATTTAAAAGCCAAGCTAAGCTAATCATATTCTTTTCTTATAACTTAAATTTGAGAAACGAAGAGGCTTGAGGCAACTGACAAAGGGATTAGAAAGCAAAAGGATGTATCAAGAGTTATGTTGATACATAGGTAGCAGGGGTAGTCATGATGAACTTTTTGCAAAACCTAAATATAGAAGTTTTGAATAAATGAAAGCAGTTCATCAAAAGAGAAATTCTTGGTTCAAATGTCATCTCTCTATAGCTTTTTCTGATTTTTTTCCAGGAAGAAATATTTCTTTTATGGATGTCCTCACAGCATTGTTTTAGTACTCATCATATCGTGTCTTAGTTTTTTGTTTTCATCTCTCTAGGGTGTGAGCTTTCCAAGTTAAGGACCAAATCTCATATATGTTTTTATGCTTAACACTAGTGCTCAATAAACATTAAATCAAATTAAATCTAATTGTATGGCTATTATACATTATGACTTCTGAAAATCAAATATTAAATTATAGTAATTAATGATTTATTTTTTCCCTTAGGCTTTTGAATTTTAGTATAAACCTTGTGCCCCGTGGTATACGACATTCGGTCTCCACTGAAATTTTCCCTACTCTATCCAGGAATAAGTATGGAACTGGAGCAGTTAGCATTCAAGCTGGCAGTGCTTTGCTAGCTAAAGGTGGTATCTGCTTTATAGGAGACTTGGCTTCACACAAAAAAGATAAACTTGAACAGCTCCAGTCAGGTAAACAATATTTTTTCAAATTAATTTTTACCTCTTTAATTTTTCCATCAGCGTCATGGAGTTGGGTGTGCTGTCACTTCAGTCATGTCTGACTCTATGCAACCCAATGGACTGTAGCCCTCCAGGCTTCTCTGTCCACGGGATTCTCCAGGCAAGAATACTGGAGTGGATTACCATGCCCTCCTTCAGGGGATCTTCCTGACCCAGTGATCGAACCCAGGCTTCCTGCATTGCAGGCCGATTCATTACTATCTGAACCACCAGGGAAGCGTAGGACTTACCTAACAATAGAGATTATATTGTACACATTTTAGAAATAGAGAAATTATATTAAATGACATTTCTCATTTTACCTTGATAAATAAAAACAGGAATTTAATGTGTAAATGCACTATTTAAGCCTTTGCTCTCAGTTGTAACACGTGAATTTGTATTAGTTAGAGTTAGTCGCTCAGTCGTATCCAACTCTTTGTGACCCCATGGACTGTAGCCCACCAGGCTTTGTTCATGGAATTCACTAGGCAAGAATACTGGAGTGGGTTGCCTTCCCTTCAGATTTACTTCCTCTTCTTGTCTTATTACACTAGTTAGGATGTTCAAGATGATGTTGAAAAATAGTGGTGAAAAGGAACATCATGATCTTGTCTTGTTCCTGACCTTAATAGGAAAGTTTCAAAGTTTCTCACCATTATGTATGATGTTAGCTGTAGGTTTTTTGATGAAGTTCTTTTTCAAGTTGAAGGAGTTCCTTTCTATTCCTAATCTAGTAAGAGTTTTTAAATAAAGGGTGTTGAATTTTACCAAATGCTTTTTCTGCATCTATTGACATGGTAATGTGGTTTTTCTTCTGTAGCCTGTTGATGTTATGGATTACATTAATAGACTTTCAAATGTTGAACTAGCTTTGCATACCTAACACAAATTCTACTTGGATGTGTTGTATATTTATTTTTATACATCACTGGAATTAATTTGCTAATATATTGTTGAGAATTTTTGCCTGTATATTCATAAGAGATATTGGTCTGTAGTTTTCTTGTTATATCTTTTGTCTGATTCTGGTATTAGGATAATGCTGCTTGATCCAGATTTATAACTAACAAGGATATGGAGAGATAAGTATTGGGCAAAGAAAAGTTAGGACCTTGCGTTCTTGGCATACCAGCAAGCATGTGCAGCAATACACAGGAGACATAGCATATTGCCTCTGCCTGCAAAAATAGACTCATGCTCATATGTTCAACTGATTTTTGATCACAACATCAAAGCAAGAAAATGGGGAAAGTTTTTTCAACAAATGATGGTGGAACATCTGGAAAAGAATTAGTATTTGCTCATACCTCACAACTATACACAATAATTAATTAAAGATGAATCATAAGCCTAGATATAAAAACTTAAATTATAAGGCTACTAGAAGAAAACATGGGAAATCTTTGTGACTTAAGGGTGTGTTGTGTGCATTTTCAGTCATATCCGACTCTGTGACCCCATGGACTGTATATAGCCCGCCAAGCTCTGTCCATGGGATTTTGCAGGCAAGAACACTGGCTGCTGCTACTGCTAAGTCGCTTCACTCGTGTCCCAGCTCTGTGCAACCCCACAGACAGCAGCCCATCAGGCTCCTCTATCCCTGGGATTCTCCAGGCAAAAATACTGGAGTGGGTTGCCATTTCCTTCTCCAGAGGATCTTCCCTACCCAGTGACTGAACCCTGATCTCCTGCATTGCAGGCAGATTCTTTACCATTTGTGCCACCAGGGTAGGCAAAGATTTTTTAGACAAAACCCAGAAAGCAAATAACAGAAAATAATTGATGAATTGGATTTCATCAAAACTAAAAAGTTATACACATCAAAAGGCCACTTAAAAAGTGAGTAGGCAAACAAAGGAAAAGAAAATAATTGCAATACATATATTTGACATAGGACATATACCTAGAACACAGAAACAATTCCTACAAGTCAGTAATTTAAAAAACAAAGTATATATGTGTTAGTCACTCAGTCATGTCCAGTTCTTTGTGACCACATGGACTATAGCCCACCAGGTTCCTCTGTCCATGGAATTTTCCAGGCAAGAATACTGGAGGGGGGTGCCATTCCCTTCTCCAGGGGATCTTAACAACCCAGGAATCGAACCTGAGTTTTCCACACTGCAGGCAGATTTTTTTACCCACTGAGCCACCAGGAACCTCTCACCCTCCACCCCCACAAAAAAAGCCCCAAAGAACCAGACGCAAAATACCGGATTGTGTGTATTGTCTCACAATCTTTTTCTCTTTCATTCTTAACTTAGATGATCTACTTTCTTTTTTTTTTTCCCACACAAAAGAACATTGCTTAATTTCAGCTTCCTTTGTAACCTGCATGATACGACCAGTCTCTTTACCCTCTGCCCATTCGTCCCGGTCCACAATTCCAGCTTCATGCTTTGTATTAATGGTTCTTATTGTCAGAGGATACAGAAACATTCAAATATTTTTCTTGCCTTGTTCTTTTTATGACAAATCCTCTAATTTAGCCATATCCTGCAAAACCATCAAATTTTCCTGTATCTTTGCTATCCAAAATTTAGTTTGTAAAATTCACATATTTATTAATTTATAGCTATATTGACCAAAGTGAACTTAAGTAACAAATGGATAATATCTCTTGACTTAGCCGTGGAAAGTAGAAGCATCACAGTCTACATCTCAGGAAAAAAGTTTGGGGATGATGTGGATCAACAAATGACTTTTCCAGTTCAGTGCAGTTTTTGGTCTTTTCTTGATATGGATTCACCTTCAAGGAGAAATATACAGAAAACCAATATGCTAATTGGTCAGATGGTAAAGTATATGCATATTTTATTGTTAGAGTGTTCTTCAAGGAATTTAGTCATGGATTTTAGTCTCAATTTTTAATAGCAATTTTATGTTTTATTTTTATTTCTATGCTTACTTTCTATACTTACTCAGATCCTGGAACTAAATAATGACACAGTTGTTTGCAATTTTTTGTTTTTTAGTCATACAAAGCAGGTATCTGCTCACTAGATATTATTATTTGAGTAGGTAGTGGGGGAGGTTTTCATGAATAATGTGTAAGAAAATACTCAATAAAGAGTATTTTAAAAAATTGGTTATGGCAGCATGCTCTTTCTTGCTTCTGCTTGCGCTTAGTCTCCGGTGCTGCCGTGTAGACTAAGTGAAGAAGAACCAAGAAAGAAGTTTTACCTCACCAGCCAATTTTTGGAGGTCTTGTGAGATCAAACAAGACCAATAAAAAAAAGAAAAAAAAAAATTGGTTACCACAAAGATCCGATGCTATTTGGAATCACTTTAAATGAAGTATTATTTATAATTATTATTTAAATTATTAATAGAGTTATAGTGTTAATGACATTAAATTATGAAATTATAATTGTAATAATTATTTTATTTTGTTATTATTTAAAGTGTTTGTGAAAATGCCAGTGTTTAATATTTGCCTTCTATATTTTTGTTTGAGGTAGGATTGCAGTTTAATTCCAGCTAATCTTGTAGAGGCATTTGCATTATTGATTAACTGCAATGAATCATCTCCTTGCCACCCACTTCTTCCAACTGTGCAACATACTTTAAAGAAAGCCATTGATCCTGAAGGGCTGCTTTATTTAGCTTCTAAACAGTTCACAACTGAAGATTTTGAAAAGGTACAGGTAGAAAAAATGAGTGCCATGAATACTTGTTCTAATGTTTCTCAATTTAAATAAAACTCCCTTTGAACATTCAATTTTCCTTATTTAGAATTTTCTTTTATTTCAATTTGCTTTCAGCTTTTAAGCATTTTAAGAACATTGTATAGAAAATATTTTAGATTAGAATTAAATTAAAAACTATAAGGACATAGATATTAAAGTGTTGAGTTTATTCTTTGAATCACTAATCAGATCACCATGGTTTATCTTTCCATTAAAACATTCAAAGTAGAATATTTTTATAAAACATTATGATGAAAGGCTTTCTAGATTCACAGTTTTTTACATTTTACAGACTATTCAAAGGGAATAGTTCTAACTGTAGGGAGTATCTATCATGACTCACAAACCAATTTATTTTAATGTCTTGACCTGAAAACATGTGTGGCATGTTCAGAGTTCCTGAGAGTTGGATGATGCAAATTTAGTAATGACTCTCATAGCTATTAAAGGTACTCAAGTATTTACAAGTGAAGCCCTTTTAATATTAACTGTTGAGACATCTGTCCACAATAGAGTTAAAGTATCTGTGTAGGATAGCTAAATGGCCTGTAACATTGGAAGGGCGAATCCACAGGTCAGTAAATTTTTTGTTCATACCTGCATTTTTTTGTAGCCCAGATTGCATGATAAAAGGTTGAAAGGTGGAGTTTATTCACATAGATTAAAACAAAAAAAGAACAATATTTATGATAAAATAAGGTCTTTTCGTTTGCTTTAGTGTGTATAAAAAAAGGCAATTAGTCTTTAGGAATTGGGGTACTAAATGATATAGACATGCTAATAACCTGGAAGACTTTTTGCCCAGTTTTTCCCTGAAAAACAACAACAAAAAAGTCTATGGATTTATTAATTAGTCAGGCATTTACTGAGTGCTTAATATAGATGAGCCTCTTTAAGTTCTTTTATATTCTCCTAGAAATGTACATTTTTCTTCCTTAAATAGTTTATCATTTAATTGAGTAATATGAAACAAGGGACAATTTAAAGCTATGCTGGGTGGTGCTGACTATAAGTATTGCTTGAATTCAGAAAGGAAGGTATCAAGTAGAATGCAAGAGTTAGGAATAACTCAAAAGGTGGTGAGACTTTAGTTGGGCCTTAATAAAAGGTAAGATTTAAATTATCCTTCAATTAAAACTAAATTTTACAAAAAGGAAAAAAGAAAACAAAAGGTTAGATTTAAATGACAAGAAGGATGGACATTCAAAAAAAAAAGCTAAAAATAAGATCAAAGATATAAAAGTAGAGAAGAGTATACATGGAAAACTATAAGAAGACCTGTCGACTAGAGCAAAAATTATATTATGTAGTCATCAAGATTTGGAGAAGGCAATGGCAACCCACTCCAGTACTTTTGCCTGGAAAATCCCATGGACGGAGGAGCCTGGCAGGCTGCAGTCCGTGGGGTTGCTAAGAGTCAGGCAAGACTGATCAACTTCACTTTTACTTTTCAGTTTCATGCATTGGAGAAGGAAATGGCAACCCACTCCAGTATTCTTGCCTGGAGAATCCCAGGGACAGAAGAGCCTAGTGGGCTGCCGTCTACAGGGTCGCATAGAGTCAGACATGACTGAAGTGACTTAGCAGCAGCAACAGTCATCAAGATCAGGCAGTTGTTGAAGAAGTTGACAACTGGAGGCCAGTGCTGGCTCCCAGTGCTATATTCCCAATAGCAGAGACAACAGGTCCTTTATGAAGGAGTATGTGAGTGTCTTTGCCTTGATTCATGGACCTAACACTCCAGGTTCCTTGGCTTTGGATTACAGAATGAAGCAGGGCAAAGGCTATTAGAGTTTGCCAAGAGAACGGACTGGTCATAAAACACCCTCTTCCACCAACACAAGAGAAGACTCTACACATGGACATCACCAGATGGTCAACACCAAAATCAGATTGATTATATTCTTTGCAGCCAAAGATGGAGAAGCTCTATACACTCAGCAAAAATAAGACTGGCAGCTGACTGTGGCTCAGATCATGAACCCCTTATTGCCAAATTCAGACTTAAATTGAAGAAAGTAGGGAAAACCATTAGACCATTCAGGTATGACCTAAATCAAATCCCTTATGACTATACAGTGGAAGTGAGAAATAGATTTAAGGGACTAGATCTGATAGAGTGCCTGATGAACTATTGACGGAGGTTCGTGACATTGTACAAGAGACAGGGATTAAGACCATCCCCATGGAAAAGAAGTGCAAAAAAGCAAAATGGCTGTCTGAGGAGGCCTTAAAATAGCTGTGGAAAGATGAGATGTGAAAAGCAAAGGAGAAAAGGAAAGATGTTCCCATCTAAATGCAGAGTTCCAAAGAATAGCAAGGAGAGATAAGAAAGGCTTCCTCAGCGATCAGTGCAAAGAAATAGAGGAAAACAACAGAATGGGAAAGACTAGAGATCTCTTCAAGAAAATTAAGATACCAAGGAAAAGTTTCATGCAAAGGTGGGCTAGATAAAGGACAGAAATGGTATGGACCTAACAGAAGCAGGAGATATTAAGAAGAGGTGGCAAGAACACACAGAGGAACTGTACAAAAAAGATCTTCACGACCCAGATAATCACGATGGTGTGACCACTCACCTAGAGCCAGACACCTTGGAATGTGAAATCAAGTGGGCCTTAGAAAGCATCACTATGAACAAAGCTAGGAGGTGATGAATTCCAGTTGAGCTATTTCAAGTCCTGAAAGATGATGCTGTGAAAGTGCTGCACTCCATGTGCCCGCAAAATTTGGAAAACTCAGCAGTGGCCACAGGACTGGAAAAGGTCAGTTTTCATTCCAATCCCAAAGAAAGGCAATGCCAAAGAATGCCCAAGCTACTGAACAATTGCACTCATCTCACACACTAGTCGGAGAAGGCAATGGCACCCCACTCCAGTACTCTTGCCTGGAAAATCCCATGGATGGAGGAGCCTGGTAGGCTGCAGTCCATGGGGTCGCTAAGAGTTGGGCACAACTGAGCGACTTCACTTTCACTTTTCACTTTCATGCATTGGAGAAGGAAATGGCAACCCACTCCAGTGTTCTTGCCTGGAGAATCCCAGGGACAGAGGAGCCTACTGGGCTGCTGTCTATGGGGTCGCACTGAGTCGGACACGACTGAAGCGACTTAGCAGCAGCAGCAGCACACACTAGTAAACTAATGCTCAAAATTCTCCAAGCCTCCTCACGTGAACCATGAACTTCCAGATGTTCAAACTGGTTTTAGAAAAGGCAGAGGAACCAGAGATCAAATTGCCAATATCCGCTGGATCATCAAAAAAGCCAGAGAGTGCTAGAAAAACATCTATTTCTGCTTTATTGACTATGCCAAAGCCTTGGACTGTGTGGATCACAATAAACTATGGAAAATTATGAAAGAGATGGGCATACCAGACCACCTGACCTGCCTTTTGAGAAACCTGTATGCAGGTCAGGAAGCAACAGTTAGAACTGGACATGGAACAACAGACTGATTCCAAATAGGAAAAGGAGTACATCAAGGCTGTATATTGTCTCCCTGCTTATTTAACTTATATGCAGAGTACATCATGAGAAATGCTGGGCTGGATGAAGCACAGCTGAAATCAAGATTGCAGGGAGAAATATCAATAACCTCGGATATGCTGATGACACCACCCTTATGGCAGAAAGTGAAGAGGAACTAAAAAGCCTCTTGATGAAAGCGAAGGGGGAGAGTGAAAAAGTTGGCTTAAAGCTCAAGATTCAGAAAACTAAGAGAGTGGCATCCGGTCCCATCACTTCATGGGAAATAGATGGGGAAACAGTGTAAACAGTGGCTGACTTTATTTTTTTGGGCTCCAAAATCACTGCAGATGGTGATTGCAGCCATGAAATTAAAAGACGCTTACTCCTTGGAAGGAAAGTTATGACCAACCTAGACAGCATATTAAAAAGCAGAGACATTACTTTGCCAACAAAGGCCCGTCTAGTCAAGGCTATGGTTTTTCCAGTAGTCATGTATGGATGGATGTGAGAGTTGGACGGTGAAGAAAGCTGAGCACCGAAGAATTGATGCTTTTGAACTGTGGTGTTGGAGAAGACTCTTGAGAGTCCCTCAGACTGCAAGAAGATCCAACCAATCTACCCTAAAGGAGATCAGTCCAGAGTGTTCATTGGAAGGACTGATGTTGAAGGTGAAACTCCAATACTTTGGCCACCTCATGTGAAGAGTTGACTCATTGGAAAAGAGCCTAATACTGGGAAAGATTGGGGGCAGGAGGAGAAGGGGACGACAGAGGATGAGATGACTGGATAGCATCACCAACTCGATGGACATGGGTTTGGGTAGACTCCGGGAGTTGTTGATGGACAGGGAGGCCTGGCGTGCTGCGATTCATTGGGTCACAAAGAGTCGAACACAACTGAGTGACTGAACTGAACTGTGGGTGTCTTATCACTGTGACCCCATAGCATAAAACCTAGAGAGAGCTATCAGTGTTATTGATGGTATTGTTATTCTGTTCTGAAGGCCTGGAGGGAATTGTGGAATGTAAGTAAAATAAAGACAGGACATATCCAACCCAGGACATATCCAGATCTTTTAAAAAAAGTTATATTTAAAATACAGATATAATAGTTAATAGCAACTTTATTATGGGTGGTTTTTCTCTTTTTGTTTCCTCCTGTTGTTTTTCTGGCTTTACAACTCACAGAAACAAAAGAAATGGTGAAAAGTCTGGAAATGGTGTCATAGAATAACGACTTAGAATAACGACATAGAATAACTAGGAACTGGGAATCACTCAGAGAAAAAGCAGAAAACTCAGAGAAAACAGTGATAATCATTAAGTTGAAGGCTTATTTTCTACCCCCAATCTTTCTGAATCTCCAAGGCCCATCTTCATAGTAGTTAACACAGTACTTCCCACATCACAAGTCTTTAGATGTGTTTTTTCAAAGGAAGAAAGGGAAGGAAGGAGGCCAATGAGAGAAAGTTTTCTGGAAATAAACTGTCAGAGAATTAAGACTATTCAAAGGGAAATGAGATTCTGAGGGAAGCTGTCTCCCACTAGAAGGCTCTGAGTAAGCCTTTATTCCGCTGGAAGCAAAGACTTGATAGTCATTCAAATACATTGCACAGAACATTTCTGTACTAAGAGGGAAGAAGAGGTTATTCTGGGTAGACCGTAATATTCTTTGTAAGTATAATATGATTTAAAGTTCTCAATGGCTTTGGATGGCTCAGATATTTAATCAGTTTTGATGTAAATAAACTATGCAAACTTTAAAAAATAAAATGACCATATACTTTGGATTTTTGTAATACAGGTTCTCTTAATAAAGTTTGAATCTCTTGAATTTTCACACTTTCAATTTAGCTGCTTGCTTTTGCAAAGAATTTGAATGTGGAATTCAGCTTGGAGGCAGAAAGAATGATTCATGGCTATTACCTAGCAAGTCGCAGAATCAGAACAGATTCTATATGTGGATCAAAACTGTCAGCATCTGCATTAAAATATTTGTAGGTATTCAATTTTAAAATCATTATTGACTTTAAAAAATCTTTATTTACTTTTGTTTTGGCTGTGCTGGGTTCTTGTTGTTGTGTGGGGTTTTCTCTAGTTGCAGAGAGTGGGGGCTACTCTTTAGCTGAGGTCCCCAAGCTTCTCATTGCAGTGGCTTCTCTTCTTGTGGGGCATGCACTGTAGAGCTCATGGGCTTCAATAGTTGCGACATGAGGGCTCAGTAGTTGTGGCTCCTCGGCTCTAGAGCACAGGCTCAGTAGTTGTGATCCAGAGGCTTACTTGCTCTGCCGCATGTGGGATTGTCCCTGACCAGGGATCAAACCTTTATCTTCTGCATTGGCAGACAGATTCTTTACCACTGAGCCACCAGGGAAGCCCCCATTATTTACTTTTAAATGATGTGTTTAATTAACTGTCTCACTTGTTTTTTGATTGCTGGGTGGTTGATTTACAATATACTTTGTTCCAAAAGAATTTAAGGTAACTTAATTATTTCTTCTGTTATAGCCTTACATCATTTGAACCTCCAACAATTTGTTTTCACTAAATTAATTTTTATTGGATACCTGGTATCAGGTACATCTGAAAAAAATGCACTAAATTTTTTAATGCAAATGATTATTTTTTTTTAATGTGGTTGCTTTAGTTCAGTTCAGTCGCTCAGTTGTGTCCGACTCTTTGAGACCCCATGGACTGCAGTATGCCAGGCCTCCCTGACCATCACCAACTCCCAGAGCTTACTCAAACTCATGTCCATTAAGTCAGTTGATTTTCTAGATATTTTATAGTTGAGCTTGGAAAAAACTTTATGTTATTCTTTGTACTTTTAAACACTTTAGTACACTCATGTACTATTGTTCCTTGAGAAGTTTTTTAAAACTAATTTTTATTATAAAAGTAAAGCATGGACATAGTGAAAGAAAAGTCTAAAATAATGAGTTAAGTCCCTTGCTAACCCTATCTGTGATTATCTCATTCCCTGGAAATGATCCCTGCTAACAGGTTTTGTGTGTCTATGATACTAGCATATACAAATATATAGTTTAAATATGTGATGTATATTAAGTACATATTTTATTTGAATATGTTATATATCTTAGGTTAATGTTATTAACATATTACATAAAAACATTTTTATAATACATAAATACATATGTAGCCATATTGATATTCTTTTTGCCCAAATGGAATCATGCAAAGATATCATGATATCTTTTTTTTTTTTTTCAAAGAAAGGTTTTTTATTTTAAATGTGGCCCTGTGTACATGTCAATCCCAAACTTCCAATCTATTCCTCCCTTCAACCTTTGCCCCCTGGTAACCATAAGTTCATTATCTAAGTCTGTGAGTCTGTTTCTGCTTTGTAAATAAGTTCATGGGTACCATTTTTAATAGATTCTGCATATAAATGATATCATATGATATTTGCCTTTCTTTCCTACTTCACTTAGTATCATGATATCTTACTATCAACACATAAAGAATTACCTCATCCTGTTTTAATAGCTCCCTTACAGTTTTACTATGTTATGATGTGGCTATTCCATAATTTAAACAGTCCTTTGTTGATAGACCATTACTTCATTTGATATAGATTAATATGTAATCTCAACCCAAATTATGAAGTAGGACCAGGGGTAAAAATAATCTATTAAATAAATAAATATCTTGTTATGACTGCAGTATAAAATAAGACAAGTGGAGGACTGATAGGAAATGCCAAGTGTAGGACTAAAAGAGATAAATATGTTTAGTTAACTTCTCCAACTCTATCTTCATAGAACTAAAAAATTGCGACAGAAAGGGAAGGTAGAAATTAACTGTGGTGTTTTAAAATGGCAAACAGAATTATATAATGCTGTTTTCTGAAGTAATATTTCAAATACTCAATACTCAGAGCTTAAAAGGTTTTAAAGCCCTATTATCTCATATGCTTTTTCTCGGTCTTAAAAAGATATTTTTAATTTAAACTCACATAGCCTCAGTTTACATTTGACTCTACTAATCAAAGAATAAGACAGAATTAAGTTTAATATGAGAACTCTACTTTTTCCTCTTGTTGAAATAAATACTAGAGATGGAACTGGGTCTTATGAAATAGTCAAGTAAATGAAGCACTTCTCAGAAGAGTCATAAACCTTGACTTTTTCTCCTGCTTCTATACACAGGTGCCTATTAACACTCTCCTTGCTTCATCTGCCTGCAATGCAGGAGACCCTGGTTCGATTCCTGGATCGGGAAGACCCCCTGGAGAAGGGCTAGCCTACCCACTCCAGTATTCTTGGGCTTCCCTTGTGGCTCAGCCGGTAAAGAATCCACCTGCAATGCAGGAGATCCCGGCTTGAGCTCTGGGTTGGGAAGGTCCTCTGGAGAAGGGAAAATCTAGTCACTCCAGTATTCTTGGGCTTCCCTTGTGGCTCAGCTGGTAAAAAATCCACCTGCAATGTGGGGAGACCTGGGTTTGATCCCTGGGTTGGGAAGATTCCCCTGGAGAAGGGAAAAACTATCCCCTCCAGTATTCTGGCCTAGAGAATTACATGGACTGTATAGTCCATGGGTTTGCAAAGAGTTGGACACGACTGAGCGACTTTCACTTTCATGCTTTTCTAGAGAAGGGGAGCTGAACAGGGCTCTTTGCTTTCCCTGAAAAGCTGTATATATATTCTGTCCTGGTCAAAATTTTTAGAAGAAGCTTGGGTGAGGACATCAGAAACATGATAGTCAAATTTGTAAATAAACAACTCTGGAGAGATCTTCACAAACTCAAATTATTATTTTAGTCTAGCAACAAGAAAATTAATAGGGTAAATATAATGTCTTTAATTAGGTCCCAACCTCCTTGGACATGTGTGAATGCATGGGAAAGGGGTGATCTGCCTTAATATGAGAAAGATTTGAGATTTCATATTTTTATGTTTAATATGAGTAAGTAATGTAATAGGGCTGTAAAGAATACTGTGATTTGGGGTTCTCTTAACAGAACATAGTATCAAGAGTGAGAAAATGCTAATTCTGCCCCAAGTCTACTCTACTGATCAAATCATACCTTAGTACTGTACTGAAAAGGAATATCAACCAAATCTGGTCACAAGGAGAATAGCCAGGATGATAAGGGGCATGAAAATCATGTCACATGACATATTAAAAGAACTAGGAGGGACTTCCCTGGTGGCCTAGTGGTTAAAACCTTACACTTCCAAAGCAGGGGGTTCAGGTTTCTTGGTCAGGAAACTAAGATCCTGTATGCTGTGGAATGTGGCCAAAAGAAAAATAGAACTAGGAATATTTATCTTGGAGAAAATAGACTATGGAGCAACTAGAAAATTTGTCTTTGAATATCTGAAGAGCTGTCTCATTTAAGAAGTGTTAGATTTGTTTTGTAATCCCAGAGGACAAAACAGGGACCAGTGGGTATAAATTGCAGTGAAACTAATTTCGGTTTACATTTATATAATCTTTGTGGGTGAGTCCCCAAATTTTCAAATGCCTTATTTGAAACCACAATTCCCTATTAATTTTTATTATCCTCATTTTATAGCAGAGCTTCAAAAAAGTCTCAGAAATTAAATGATTCATACAAACTCACACAGCTAGTAAATTTCTAGAGACATAGTTCAGATTTTCTGATTTCCACATCCAACACTCATTCAAGTGCCTTAAAGCTAGCTTAAAAATAATAAAGAAATAGATTGCTTCCCGATTCTCAGTGAATCCTAGGGTAAGTTCAAAAGAGACCAACTAATGAGTATTGTGGGATGATGTATAGCAAATTCAGTTATCTGATGGGATGTTGAAATTTGCTGTCTAAAATCTCTTCCAACACTGAAATTTCAAGATTCTGTGAGGACTTCCAGTGGGTTAAGAACTGGAAGAAAAGACCAAGGATGTGTCTATAAGAGATATTTAGTTAATTTTCCAGCTATGTATTTTCAGCTCCTGAATAGAACTTGAGGAGGGTAATGTGTAGAATAATAAAGAAAAAAAACAGGATAAAAGCCAATTCTTTGATAACAAATCAGGAGACTTCCTCGTTCTCAGTCTATTCAACTTGGTAGGAAAAACATGCTTTGTAAAGAAACTAAAATTGTTTTAAGAATATGCTGATCTTTTTAAGGTGTGGCTTATGTTCACACATATCTTGTTTTTTTCCTGCCAAAATATGTATTGTCTTTATAATATCAGCATATTTTGATGGGCCTCAATTTTCTCTTTTAGAGTTTCCCTATCTGAAGCCCATGCTCGACTGAACTTAAGGAATAAAGTGCTTAAAGAAGATGTACTAATTGCAGCCTTATTATTTGAAACATCTCTAACACTGAAATATGGTAATCTATTAAGTTATTAATGATCACTACAAATAATTATATTTAAACTTTAAAAGTCTTAATCTGTTAAGATGTTACATATATATGAAATATTATTTTAAAGAATAATAAATTTCTACAAGATAAGTCCAATTTGAATTTAAAACATTTAATTATTGTTTACAGGTCATATCATTATCTGATATTAAGTTCCTAATTGTGCATGGTTATTCCTATACTTTAACTTTTGCATTGCTTAGAAAATTCTGGAAAAAAAAGTAATTAATATGATGCATGAAATGATTTTAAATTTATCATCCTTTTAAATTAGCATGCAACATATAATTGTCAAGCAAATCCCCCACAGTGGAATTAGACACTAAGCCAAAGAAGATATGATCAACTTGTATCACCACCTTTTCTGAATTACTAGTTATAATACTGTGACTATAGCATTTAATTATCTGAAATCAAAGGAGTTTATTATAGTTTTGCTAATAAAAACATAAAAAGAGCTGTTAAAGGTGAGAGTAAAGAGAATTATCCTTACAAAGTTCTTTTTGAATTATTCAGTTCAGTTCAGTCTCTCAGTCGTGTCCGACTCTTTGCAACCCCATGAACCACAGCACGCCAGGCTTCCCTGTCCCTCACCAATTCCCAGAGTTTACCCAAACTTATGTCCATTGAGTCAGTGATGCCATCCAACCATCTCATCCTCTGTCGTCCCCTTCTCCTGCCCTCAATCTTTCCCAGCATCAGGGTCTTTTCAAATGAGTCAGCTCTTCGCATCAGGTGGCCAAAGTATTGGAGTTTCAGCTTCAACATCAGTCCTTCCAATGAACACCCAGGACTAATCTCCTTTAGGATGGACTGGTAGGATCTCCTTGCAGTCCAAGGGACCCTCAAGAGTCTTCTCCAACACCACAGTTCAAAAGCATCAATTCTTCGGTGCTCAGCTTTCTTTATAGTCCAGCTCTCACATCCATACATGACCACTGGAAAAACCATAGCCTTGACTAGACGGACCTTTGTTGACAAAGTAATGTCTCTGCTTTTTAATATGCTGTCTAGGTGGTCATCACTTTCCTTCCAAGGAGTAAGCGTCTTTTAATTTCATGGCTGCAGTCACCATCTGCAGTGATTTTGGAGCCCCCAAAAATAAAGTCAGCTACTGTTTCCCCATCTATTTCCCATGAAGTGATGGGACTGGATGCCATGATCTTAGTTTTCTTAATGTTGAGCTTTAAGCCAACTTTTTCACTCTCCTCTTTCACTTTCATCAAGAGGCTCTTTAGTTCTTCTTCACTTTCTGCCATAAGGGTGGTGTCGTCTGCATATCTGAGGTTATTGATATTTCTCCCTGCAATCTTGATTCCAGCTTGTGCTTCATCCAGCCCAGCGTTTCTCAGGATGTCCTCTGAATATACGTACTCTGAATATAAGTTAAGAAATCAGGGGTGATAATATACAGCCTTGACGCACTCCTTTTCCTATTTGGAACCAGTCTGTTGTTCCATATCCAGTTCTAACTTGCTTCCTGACCTGCATACAGGTTTCTCAAGAGGCAGGTCAGCTAGTCCGGTATTCCCATCTCTTTCAGAATTTTCCACAGTTTATTGTGATCCACACAGTCCAAGGCTTTGGCATAGTCAATATAGCAGAAATAGGTGTTTTTCTGGAACTCTCTTGCCTTTTCAATGATCCAGCAGATGTTGGCAATTTGAATTATTACGAGGCATTAATTTTGATGAGATATACCATCCTTTAAACATTGGTTCTGCTAACATAACAAAATCAGCCAGTTATTTTACCAGGAAAATGGTTTTTATTCAGGAGCAGGAAAGAATTGCAATTCAGGACATGGCAAATCTGGTAAATCACATGTAAGTCTGGTAAAGCAAAGAAAAAGAAACTCTTCTATGGAGGAGAACAGTTGGGGGGCGTTTACCAGAAAGTCCATTGGAGGTAACTGGGAGTTCCAAGTTTAGTGTCTTTTCGTTGGCTACATTGTGACAGTCTCTCTTTGGCAGAGCTGTTGCCAGGCAAGGAGAAAAATCTTTCAAATTTTCCTTCCTCCTGCTGGTGGTACTAGAGTAGTGTCCCTTCTTGCTGGAGATGCAAAATATGTTTCTTCCTGTTGGGATCTATATTGATATTGAGAGGTACCTGTATGAGAGCTCCCCCTTCTGGTCTCCCGACTCCATTTTAGGAGATTTTTACTCTATTTTCAGTTCCAGCCCTGGGCAGTAAAGTATTAATACCAACTTTTCTGTGTGTATATATTTAGTGTTTTAACTTGCTTCAGATTCAATTTATAATATTTTTTCACAGACATCCATTAGAACATTAGAACTTTGTTCTTATCTAAATCAAGAATTCTTAACCTAGCATCCATGGATACTGAGTCCTAGGGGCTTGTGAATCCCTAAGTTAATTGTGAACTTGTATATGTATTTGCTTTCTACCTTCTTGCTTAGGAACAGGAATCATTAAGTTTTATGGAGTATGTCTTAAGAGTTTCATGACCCTCAGAAAATGTTAATTATCATTCTGAATTAGGAATTTCCCTTATGGCTCAGACAGTTAAGAGCCTGCCTGCAATGCAGGAGACCTGGGTTCAATCCTTGGGTCAGGAATATTCCTTGGAGAAAGAAATGGCAACCCACTCCAGTATTCTTGCCTGGGAAATCCCATGGACAAAGGAGCCTGGTGGGCTACAGTCCATGAGGTTGCAAAGAGTCCGACATGATTGAGCAACTAACACATTCACTCACCAAAAAAGAAAACCACTGTTCCCAACCAGCAATAAATAAGGATATGTATTTTTGTTTGTAATTTGCTTTATCTTTACATTCTTATTCCATATTTTAAAATATATTTTATAAAATCTAAGACATTATTTTATGTACTACGAAGAAAAAATGCTGCCAATTTTACTATGACAAACTATCACCATCAAAATTAAGACAAAACTAGATTTCAGTAAGAAGATAAAAATTATGTCTTTGAATTTAGGAACTTTGGTACTATAATGTTCAGGACTCCTGTGACTGAATATGGCTATTTTCACTTGATAACTATTTGTCAAGACTTTCTTGAAGCATTTAAGAAAGCTTTTGTTGAGGGAAATAAAGCTATGTGGAGTTTTTCCTTTAGTTACTTTTTGTTTCCATAATGAGTGTCAGTTAGGTATATTCTTTTTTAAGTCTTAAGCAAAATGATGTTAAAACTCCATAAGTGTTACTTTAAAGATAGGAAAATAATCCCTACTCAGGGATGTTTTTCTTGGATGAAAAAAACAATACCTGTGCCTGAACTGGATTTAGGAGTTGGGGCAGTGGGGAGAAGGAAGAATTAAAGAAAACTCTCAGGTTTCTGCCTTGAGCAACTGAGTGGATCATGTTGCCATTTACCAAGACTAGAAAGAATGAAAAAGGGTTGGGTCCAGTTGTTGTTGTCACTGTTCCATCTCTAAATCAAATCTGACTCTTTGCAACCCCATGGACTGTAGGATACCAGGCTCCTCTATCCTCCATTTTCTCTTGAAGTTTGCTCAGATTCATGTCCATTGAGTTGGTGATGCTATCTAACCATCTCATCCTCTGCTACCCTCTTCTCCTTTTGCCTTCAGTCTTCCCCAGCATCAGGGTCTTTTCCAATGAGTTGGCTCCTCATCAGGTGGCCAAAGTATTAGAGCTTCAGCAACAGTAAATAAATATTCAGGGTTGATTTCCTCTAGGACTGACTGGTTTGATTTCCTTGCAGTCCAAGCGACCCTCAAGAGTCTTCTCCAACACCACAATTTGAAAGCACCAATTCTTTGGCACTCAGTCTTCTTTATGATCCAGCTCTCACATCTGTACCTGACTACTGGAAAAACCATAGCCTCAACTACATGGACTTCTGTTGGCAAAGTAGTGTCTCTGTTTTTTAATACGCTGCCTAGGTTTGTCATAACTCTTTTTTCCAAAGAGCAATCGTCTTTTAACTTCATGGCTGCAGTTACCATCTGCAGTGATTTTGGAGCCCAAGAAAATAAAATCAGTCACTGCTTCCACTTTTCCCCCTTCTATTTGTCAGGAAGTAATGGGACTGGATGCCATGTACTTAGTTTTTTGAATGTTGACTCTCAAGCCAGTTTTTTCATTCTCCTCATCAAGAGGCTCTTTAGTTCCTCTTTGCTTTCTGCCATTAATGGTATTATCTGCATATCTGAGGTTGTTGATATTTACCCCAGAAATTTCTATTCCAGCTTGTGAGTCTTCCAGCCCGGTATTTCGCATAATGTTCTCTGCATAGAAGTTAAATAAGTAGGATGACAGTATACAGCCTTGTTGTACACCTTTCCTAATTTTGCACCAGTCTGTTGTCCCATGTCCAGTTCTAACTGTTGCTTCTCGACCTGCATACAGGTTTCTCAGGGGGCAGGTAAAGTGGTCTGGTACTCCCATCTCTTTAAGAATTTTTCAGTTTTTGTGATCCACACAGTCAAAGGCTTTAGCATAGTCAGTGAAGCAGAAATAGATGTTTTTCTGGAACTCACTTGCTTTTTTGATGATCCAGCAGATGTTGGCAATTTGATCTCTGGTTCCTCTGCCTCTTTAAAACCCAGTTTGTTGGGTCAGGGGTGAAGAATCAAATTATAGGTATAAGTTTAAGACATCCTACAGAGATATCAATAGACAGATACAATAATCTGGGGTTTGGAAGAGAGTTTTAAACTAGAAATATAATTTAGGTACCATCAGTACAGAGACGGTACTCAAAGCCATGGAGTGGATGAAATCACTGAGAGACTATACAGAGAACCACAGGACTGCCTTTGAAGAATTTCAGTTTTTAGAAAAAGAGTTGAGGGGGAGGAGCTAACTAATGAGACTGAGAAGCAGTTTTATTAGAGAAGTCAAGAAAAAAAGAGTGTTTCAATAAAGGAGTGGAGTGGTCAACTATATCACGTGTTGAGAATTTGAATAAGATCAGATTTGGCATCTAGAGGTTGTGGATGGTCATAATTTGAGCTATTTCAATGGAGTTGGGATGTGGGTAGGGTAGGAAGTGAGGCTATGGAGATAGCACACACAAACTTTGAAATGTTTGACTATGAAGATGAGAATTAGCTAGAGAAGCATGTGTGGTCCAGGAAGGGATTTTTTTTTTTTTAAGACGGAAGATAATAGTCCATATGATGTGCAGTACAAAAACACTGCAGAAAGCAGCATGAAGTCTTTAAAAAGGTGAGAGGATAAATAAAAATGTATTTATCACATGTGTGAAGGTAAAGGCCTCTGATAGAAAAATTACTTTATAGGAAGGAAAATGATGGATACAAAATCAGGTAGGTTTGGTCTTTTACTCTACACAAGGTCATCAGCTAAAAATAAAAGGTTTGAGGGGAACAGAATGGAACATAATAGTAATTGTGGCCAGGGTTGGGTGGGGTGGGGAGATGAAGTGTGCTAGAAAAGAAACTTAGGTTTTTTAGGCAGTGCAACTGCCCATTTGAGGCTTCTTTATTTAAAGTGAAATCAATACCAATTATTGTTTTTCTGCCTAGCAACCTGAATGCAGGCATAAACTTTTTTGTTGAAAGTTATGCCTTCACATTTAGCATTTGAAGTATTTCTCATTTTTACTTTTCCCTTCTACACTTAGGGGCCGCTGTATTTTGTGTTGCTCCAAATGCGGTGTTTCCATTTGAACAGTATGATGAAGAATATTTAGAGCAAAGGGATGTCTATCTGACTGAGTGCCAACAACAGCTCCAACAGTTTATTGCCACATATGGACCTGGGACAGCTATTTTTGCTAGTGATGAATAGGCAGTCTGAGGAAATGTTTTTCTTCATTCCTTTTTAAGCAATGGAAAAAAGTATGAATGATTTTGAAGTAATGCTTCAGGCAATCTTGTGTGTAGGTACAATAGAATGTACCTACATTGTGTAGGATATATTAGAATGTCATCTTAAAAAATATAAAATATGATTTCTTCAAATTGTTAATGGAATAAACACTAATCCAATCTCAAAGCCAGCAGCAGAAATTTATATTAGGAGAATTTTATTTAAAAAAAAAACAAACTTAACCTAGTATACCAGTGGCCCACAGATTAAAATATAAATGTTACAAACTAAGAAATGAAAAAAAAAGGTAAGTTTTGTGCTTTTGTGTAGTTCCTTCTATTTGTCTCAAGATGGCAGTAACACTTTAAATATTTACTCACAAAGTTAAAATCATTTTTTTCTTAATTTGTGAACTTGACAAATTGATGGGTAAACAACAGCATTTATATAACCAAAAGCCTTCAATTTAAGGACTTTTCATGCTTTACTAGATATTGTCATGTCTATTACATTGTTTTAGAAACCTTAATTATAGGATAAGAAAATCTTTGGCAATTTTCCATTTTTAAACCAGGTTAAATAAAAAAAAAAAGTAAGTTACACTGAATTGAGGATCAGTAATTGGCTCCTTAAAGCGAGCTGCAAGATACCAAAATGCAAACAAACCAATTTTCAAACCCTGTCTTCATTTTTAGAGGGACGATATCTACTCTGAAAAGGTAGGGACACCATGAGAAAATATAAAATCCCCCAAACCTTTTCCTTTTCCAGTTTTAGTAAAAGACTACTCACTAAAAGGAAAATGTCATCACAAAATTGCCACTTTATTAACCAAGACACTATCACACATCAATTCTGTAGAAATGGGTACTTTATGGAGTTTAACCATGAAGGTAGACAGCTCTCTCACTCTCTAGAGGACTTGGACCCATCATTTATTATTTTACTTCCTAGCCGTTCATTCAACAGTATTGACTGAATATCCAGTAGTGCCAGAGACTATACAGTGTTTTCAGAAGGCAAACCTGGTCTTTAGAAAAAATGTATTTATCACAAATTAAAGACTTCCTTCGTGGTTTATCTATTTAGATTTGTTTTTTGTTCTTTATGAGATGAAGGCAAAACACATTTCTTAATAAAACTAGGATCTATAAAATGGCTCCTCTTTACAATTAATTGTGAAGTGTTCAGATTCTGTTGATGAAGAGGACTAGTATCAAATACAGGTGAAAATGGTTTTCAAATGTCACCCCGGATGGGAAGGCATTATAAAGATATTGCTGTACACTTTATACTGATTTACCAAACTGAAATTATAACCCTGATAAAAGCAAGAATTTTATGTACTGTAGGACACAACAGGGGAAAAGCAAGATTCAGCTAAATTTAAATCATCTTGGTAGGATTTCAGTTATTTTCAAATTCGCATGACCTGGACAGACTGGACCGTCACTACTTGCTTTAATTGAGCATATTATTACGTATACTAGAATTAGGAAAAATTGTGATTTTCCCTAGATTAACTCCCAAATCCGTTTTTTATTCATAAATGTAAATAAAACCAAACCAAGAATAAAATTAAAATTTAAAAATCTGTAGGTCACAGGTGAAACCTTTACTTGTAAGGGGTCATTTAAGGAGTTGAGAAAATTTCAACTAGTATACCCTTGAACACAGGTTTGAACTACATGAGTCCACATACAGGGTGTTTCTTCTTTTTTTTCTTTCAGTAAATACATACTACGCTATATAATCTACAGCTTATTGAACCAGAGGATGTGGAACCCTGGATACAAAGGGTGGACTATAAAGCTATACTTGGATGTCTGATGCTGAGACGGGTTGGTGCCCCTAAACCCCTTTGTTTTTCAAGGGTCAACTGTGCTGTTTTTCAGAGACACAGAGGTTCTGAAGGGGGAGGCCCTCATAGGTATCTAGTACACAGTGATTAACCTCTGCAGAAACCCCCTAAGGCAAAAAAGGGGACTGAGAACTGGATGTACTAAAAATGTCTCCCCAGCTGCCAGCTACCTGCCACTTCAAAAAGAATCACTATCCAGAGGAGCTGGTTATTGACAAGAATACACTATCCCTAAAGAAACTTTAAAAACAAGTCTGACCAGTAACTATGAAAATGAAGCTATTTAAAGACCTGATATATTTTATTTTTTTTTGAATAAAGACCTGATATATTTTAAAGAGAACAGACTTTATTGCCCAGCAATTAAAATAATGTGAAGATGTATTTTTGTCCATAATTTATTGTGAGATGAACGTTAAAATACAATTTTAATTTTTATCACTTGCTTTAATGCACGTCTTCTTGAACAACTCTTCATTTTTCCTTCGAAAACGTTGTGTGCCACACCTCTGGGGAAAAATCAGAAACCAACAGTGAAAATAATTCCATGCTCAAAACTTGAAAGTCATACACCTGACACACAAAGGCACCTTTAACAGGAAAGGAAATGGCCGCAGCTTTTGGAGTTTAACAGACACTTTCAAATTGTCAATAGGTGCGGCTGCGTGACAAATCGTAATCACTTACTTGAGGTAATGAAGAGTTTTTAAGCACCACTGCTAAGGACTTGAACATTCATCTGCACGTACTCATCTGCTGAAAAGAACAGTTCACCAATTTTAATAAAAAACTGTATTAGATTTGAGTAATTCACATAATATATATTACTGGCATCTCAGTCTTAAAGTTATTTCTTCAAAGATACCCTCAGCTGGGTAAACGGCAAAAAGTAATTTGTCATCACTGTGCCAGTTATTAAACATTTTGGTATTGTGCTTCAGGAACAATATCACAAACACATAAAAAAAGCACACAACTTAACATTATAACTCCTGGTACCTTGTTACATGCACAGCGGTCCTCCTAGTGTTTTCACAGCCATCCTCTGTGACAGGTTTTTGGAAAACATTTATCACAATGATCTTCATCTTCAACTCATAGGCTCTGCTGCACCTAGAAATTAAATGTATTTCATTGTGAATTCTCATTTGCACTTGTATCTGTTGGGCATCTTATATCTAGTATGATCCAGTTGGCCCTTTTCCCCATACTCATTCAAGAACCATTTAAAAAAAAGAAAAACTTATAATCTTTCTGACTCCAATCAACTTTTAAGAAAAACCACTAACAAGTGGAGTCATTTTCTGCTGTTTAACACATCTCTAAAGGAACAAAAGAATGTGCGTGCTGCTTAATTATACTTTTTTTGGTAATCAAAACTGATAAGGCTCCCAGTTTAATACCTATAATGACTTGGGTATGTCTTGATCCTTTTGATTGGTTAGGCCCTAATAATTCCATAAATGATTTTTCCAAGCTGGAAATGGATTCATTAGCATAGGTAAAAACGATGGATGCATTTACGATATTCTTTTACTGTGGCAGCACAGATTTTAGACATGATGGTCCTAATGAGTACCTAACCATTGCTTTTCTGTCTCAGAGCTTGACATGGATGAGGTGAGTCAGGTTAAAGGTTAGATATATAAAAACATGTGTGCAGACTTCTAACTAAAAACATTATTATGGCAGCTCTAATATAGTTTCAGAGCAGACATACATGATGTTGACATCATTACTGGACACAGTCCTGTAGAATTAAGTCCCAAGTTGCCTAAAAGCATATTTATGTACTGCAAAGGGCATGGTCAGGCCACAGATCATGTCCCCTAGAACCCCAAGAGGATAAATCATTGAACCATCAGCTACTGAAAATGATTTATGAGCACATAACAAATGCTGGGCCTTGCAAAACAATTTATCACTTTCAAGTCTTGAAATACTGAGATATTTCACATAATATTAAGAGCACAAACTACTGGTTATGAATATTTTCAATTTGGAAAACTTTAATATATGATTCATAACACTTCTAACAACTACATGCAAGTTCTATTTAAGGCCTAAAACAACCAACGCTTAGGGATATGTATGTATAAAACTGCTATCCACTCTAATCCCCTCAAAAAAACCCGAGTTTGGAAACAAAATCCCAGATGATGGGCACCTCAGGAGAGAAGGCATGGGATAGAAAGAAAGGAATGGGATAGAGAAGCAAATGGATGTTATGGTATTAATAATACTCACTGGGTTCTTGTGTATTTATTATGCTTGTGTGTGTTGGTTGCTCGGTCATATTCAACTGTTTACGACTCCACGTACTGTAAGCCGCCTGGCTCCTCGGTCCATAGAATTTTCCAGGGAAGAATACTGCAGTGGGTTGCCATATTTTACTCCAGGGGATCTTCCCAATCCAGGGATTCTTTACCACTGTGCCACCTGGGAAGGCTTTATTATCCTTAAGGACTTACATAAATTATCAAAATTTTAATCAATCGTTTATTTTGTGAAGTTTTTAAAAATTCCAACACTTAGCAATGAAAATAGGGTTCCAGTCACTATGCCTCAAAAAGAAGGACTGAAATACCAAATAAAAGCTACTTCAAGCCATCACATTTGCCCTGGTGAAAGTTAACTGTTTTGATTGTTTGAGATGAAAAAACGTGTATTTCAAATGGGGGGGAGGGAAAAAACCAAACACCTGACTATAGCAAGTCTCATCGACGATCACTAATAACTTCGCTTTTAAACAAACAAAAGGTCTTCCAGCTCTTGACCAGTTTCTTCTGTATCAAGTTAAGAATACACATCTCTATGTAAATCCAAGCATCTAAGGCTACAGCCGGCATTTACAGCCTAAGGATCTTTTAACCCAACTTCAGTGCCAAATCTCTAGAGCCTATTTACAAAGGAAGATCCGGGAACAAATGCCTACAGTGCGTCACTGCGCAGAGCCCAGAACTCAATGTTAGGTTAACCGTGCTGCGTTAAGAAGTTTAAAAACCAACCAAAAAGTCCAGCCAAGTCAAGGTTGCCTTAAGATTTAAGAGGTAATCCCTTCCCCCTTTACAGAACGTTTCCTTAGAAAGGATAAACAAGCGCACATTTAAGGGGCCCA